ATATTAAGTAAAAAATAAAGCCAAAGATTAAGCTCCGCCCACTAAAAGCTATTAAATTTAATAAATTCATGGATAAAAGATTATCTTGAACACATTTTAACTGACTAAAACAAATTGGTCGAAAGTTGTTTCAACAGCACTTCCCTCGCTCTTGAAATAGAATGAAACAAAAAATAACACACAATCATTTTAGGAATTTAACTCGTTACTATGGAAACTTGCTATTTAACACCTTTCAATTTTAACTAGTTTTTACAACATTTATTAATAGAAGCAAATTCAGTCTTATCTTAGCAAGAACTAGCCCCGCCCACCCGCCCCTTATTTTCTCAGAGGATATGTTATTTGCCAAAATAAATCTTATCTTAGCACGTACTAGCCCCGCCCACCCACCCTCTATTTTCTCGGAGGATATGTCATTTGCCAAATTAAATCTTATCTTAGCAACTACTAGCCCCGCCCACCCACCCTCTATTTTCTTCAAAGGTATGTCATGTGCTAAAATGCTAGTATTTGCCACGATAAGAGCGATTTTGCCAAATGACACAATCTTCTGAAAAACTAGGGGGTGGGTGGGCGGGGTTAGTACTTTTATTAAGATAAAACTGATTTGGCAAATGTCATACCCTGTAAGATAATAAAGGGCGGGTGGGCGGGGCTAGTCCTAGGAAAATTAAAAAAATTGTAATCATTGTTACATATCTATTTAAAATGAAAACCAGAAATATGATCAAAAATTGAAGAAACGAAACATTGAAAAAAATCCAAAAATTGGAAAGCAAAAATTGAAAAAAATAAAGAAAATAAACCGAAACGAAACATTGCAAATGAAAAGATAGAAAAAAATGAAAATTGAAAACTCGCGAAATTTCAAAATAAGTTTGTTTTATCTTAGCAAATGCTAGCCCTGCCGACCCGCCCCCTCTTTTCTCAGAGGATATATCATTCGCCAAAATAAATCTAATCTTAGCAAGTATTAGCCCCGCCCACCCGCCCCCTATTTTCTCAGAGGATATGTCATTTGCCAAAATAAGTCTTATCTTAGCAAGTATTAGCCCCGCCCACCCGCCCCCTATTTTCTCAGAGGATGTCATTTGCCAAAATAAATCTTATCTTAGCAAGTACTAGCCCCGCCCACCCGCCCTCTATTTTCTTAAAAGGTATGTCATTTGCTCAAATGCTAGTATTTGCTAAGATAAAACTGATTTTGGCAAATCACAATCCTCTGAAAAACTAGGGGGTGGGTGGGCGGGGCTAGTACTTTTAGTAAGATAAAACTGATTTGGCAAATGTCATACCCTGTAAGAAAATAGAGGGCGGGTGGGCGGGGCTAGTCCTACGAAAATTTAAAAAATTGTAATCATTGTTACATATTTATTTAAAATGAAAGCCAGAAATATGATAAATCAAAAATTGAAGAAATGAAACATTGAAAAAAATCCAAACATTGGAAAGCAAAAATTGAAAAAATAAAGAAAATAAACCGAAACGAAAAATTGCAAATGAAAAGATAGAAAAAAATGAAAAATTGAAAATTCGTGAAATTTCAAAACTAGTTTTTTTTATCTTAGCAAATGCTAACCCCGCCCACCCGCCCCCTCTTTTCTCAGAAGCTATGTTATCTGCCAAAATAAGTCTTATCTTAGCAAGTACTAACCCCGCCCACCCGCCCTCTATTTTCTCAGAGGATGTCATTCGCCAAAATAAATCTTATCTTAGCAAGTATTACCCCGCCCACCCGCCCCGTATTTTCTCAAAGGATGTGTCATTTGCCAAAATAAGTCTTATCTTAGCAAGTACTAGCCCCGCCCACCCGCCCTCTATTTTCTTAAAAGTTATGTCATTTGCTAAAATGCTAGTATTTGCTAAAATAAAACTGATTTTGGCAAATCACAATCCTCTGAGAAACGAGGGGGTGGGTGGGTGGGGTTAGTACTTTTATTAAGATAAAACTGATTTTGGCAAAAGGTCATACCCTCTGAGAAAATAGGGGGCAAATCTAAAAAATATGAATACAATAAATCACAAGTAAAAACTCATCATATTTTGCACATTTTGGGTGGAATTTATTCGGCAAAATTTTGAGATGACGTCATCAATTTCTTGTGGGGAATAAATAGATATATTTAGAGATGATTAGAAAAATTTTGGTGAGCGTTTTGCCATCTACATGATATTCCTAATATAAATACAAAATTTGACAACAATCGACCCAGTACTTTCGGAGATTATCTCTAATAAAAATCCGGGACGGCAGACAGATGGACAGACAGACGAAAATAAGAGACCTATTTCTACGTACTCTAGGGGTCATGAAAGGTCGAGAAAACGTAAAAGTAGAGAGTCGGCCCACGGTTTTGATTACAATACTTCCTTGGCTTACGCTCGGGAAGTAAAAAGGTACTAAAAAGGTGTCACAGAAGACAAAAAGTTAAAAAAGGGTAAAAAAGGTTGATATGCAAAATTCTGAGGTGACGTCGTACCATTGTTGGTGGGGATAATTAGACAAATTTTGTTTTTACCATTTGAATGAAAATGGCAATTTATAAATACAGAGTGTTAAAAAAAATGACGCACCAACTCTATGACCCGTTCAAGACAATTTATGGAGCAGGGAATAATTTGAACACTACTTTTGCCCAAATGTATAAAAATATAGTCCTTCAATTTTTTTTTTCCGAAATTTAACCATATTTTAATTCACTACTGTCTGAAATCTATTGAATTTTCATTACTCAAATTAATTTTTGTAGTTTTCCCACCCTGGACAAAATCTACAAGAATGAGTGTGACAGAGTACGCAAGTAGCAAAATGATTTTGGCACTTGTTACATACAACATTTTTTCTAAACCTGAGCATTCTTCGCTGTAAATGTATCAAAAATTTCCTTCTGATTTATTTTTTGTTCGCTCTATTCTGTCTAGTAGTTTTCCCTGCCCCCATGTATGGATTTTCCGCGGCCGGCACTCTCGCTTTCGCAGCGCAAGAATGCCGCCCCCGACCCTTATCAAGCCGCCGCCGCGTTCCGGTGCATTTTCGTTGACGATCGGCCGAACGGATCGAAATGCGGCACGCATGTGCGTAGCCTCCCTTCTGATAACGTGGAAAAAGCGTGGGTGTGGAGTACGCATGGGACAGAACCGGCGTACGAGAGAAAGGGGGAAGGCGGGCGGAGAGAGGGCGCCCAAAACGGATCGGCTGCAGGCTGGCTGCACCATCTGACCCACTTTCCCGGATAAGAAGGAACAGAAGCGGAGATACGCCGGGAATGCGGGAATTTCCACCCCGGAATCGGGGGCCAAGGTCCCCCCGCCGCTCCTGCAGGGATAATCGCATCACAATAGCAAATCTAGTCCAGCCGGTATTTTCGCAATAATTGGGTAATTTACCGCCCTCCGATCCGGCGTAAACAATGTCGTTAGAAATCGGACCGCCTACGGGTCGGCTTTTCTCGGAAAACCAGCTAGCTCCCTTGTTATTCCCGCCCCTCGATCACGCTTTTCGTCGGTTTGTGCACTTTTGGCCGGCGCACACAGAAAATGTGTCAAGTCGGATTTTTGCTACGGTTTTCACCCACATTTCGGCGAAACTGCGCCTCAGGTCGGAGCCAGAGATTTTTTTTTAACCTCGGCCATTCGCATGGATACGTGGGCTTTGTTATTGAAATGGGTTTCAATGACGCACTATTACATCGCGCGCTAGTTCGCCGACACTGGATCGGCGTCAGGTGGGCCTGGATATAAATAAAAAAACATTGAGTGCAGGTACAGAGGGATTTTGATGTCACTGCTGCCGGACGGACCCCTGAGCAGCACCCATGTAAAAATATCGTACACCCGTTGTCAAATGTCAAGCGATAGCCGAGGTCGCCCGATACCGACTTAAAAAAACTCCCATAGTGTCGCAAATTTTATTTATACAACGTCGCTTTGATTACAAATATTATGACTTGGCGCACCACAATCAGTGAACTCATGTACTGAAAAACAGTATGTACGCATGAGCTTGCGTTCGGGAAGGTAGAAGAGGCATGGGACCATCACGTGATTGGCAACTTTTCGCAATAATTTGGAGTCGTCCTTGGGTTGAATTTCGTCCCATATATGGTCTAATGGGAATACTTTCGTTGAATACCGAAAGCAGCGACCATGTCTGGAAACGAGAAAGGGGAGCTCCGTGGATTTCTAATTTCCATTACAAAAACCGCGGATTTATTATTGCACCGTGGGAAAAGCTGATCTAGCTACAATGTTAACACTTTTTGCAATCGCCATTCAAAGACACTATTTTATTTTACTGCACCGGAAATTAAGTCGCAATCAATAAGTCGTTAAAAAAAAACTTGTTCGATGATCGGTCTTGCGACTTTCCGATCCCCCCCGGTACTCAGTCAAAACGTGCTTGCTTTAGAATTAACACCGCAGCTTTGTTTAATAACCACCTCGTCTGACCTCCTTTTTTTGTTTTAATAGCATCACCGTGGTGTATTTATTCTACTAAAAGTGACACAGATCACCAAGAATTCCATTGCCAAACCGTAATTTTCCCAAGGACAGAGGATATGATCGATAATAAATTATTAATGAATAATCACAAAATGATCTAGATTCGGTTTCGTGACCTCATTTGCTCTCGTATCCTATTCCGACCACTCTCCATTCCACAATAGTTTCCACCGAAAATCAAATGAAGTTTCGTGTACTGTCGTGGTCCCGAAAGAAAGTCGGTCTGAGGAATGTAAACGGACTTATGTACGCTATAAAGCGTTGGGACAAAGTTAACAGAAATTGTACATCATTCGACCACTAGCCTCTTTGAAATAGGGTTTGAACTAAAAACAATCGTCAGGGTAAGTATACATGTTGACAAAGCGACGTTCATAACCGCAGCATGTTTGGTCCACTGGACCGCGTTTGCGCCGTTGTAACACCGGCACGTGCATCTCTTTGCCATGTGTTTTACTCCAGTCAGTCATTAGCGGCGAAGAAATAATTAGAAAATGAATCGGCGAAAGGGGCAAACTTTAAGAAGCGGGGCCAGGGAAATAATTCTTAATGTAACTCAACGTTGTGAGGAAGAAGCAATAAATAAAGCCTTCAATATCCCTCTTCATGCTCCTACAAAAAGGGCCGCATTTTATACAGGTGTTGGGGAGACTACAATTAAAAAAATTAAGCGCGAACATCAAGACAGAATGCAAAATGAGCCCGATGCATTACTGAAATCTCCGGGAAAAAAAAGACATAGGCCAGATATTTGTGAAAAAATTGACGATTTTGATTTTCAAGTCATAAGAAGGACCATTGAAGACTGTTATTTAGTTGACAAACGAGTGCCAACCTGTCAGCAACTCGTCGCAAAAATTCGCCAAAAAATAGATTTTCCCTATGGACGAAGAAGTTTGAATAGACTTCTTAAAAAAAATGGTTTTTTCTGGAGAAAATGTAAGAATAAAAGAAAGGTGCTTATGGAGCGACCACAGATTATGCATTGGCGGTTACTGTACCTGCGGGCATTAAAAAAATACCAAAATGAGGAGAAAAGTATAATATACATAGATGAAACATGGGTAGACAACGATATGACAGTAAAAAAATGTTGGCAAAGCGATGTCCATAAAGTGTTTGGCGTAACGAGTGGCATTAGATCTACCGGTCGCTTAATAGTGGTACATGGAGGGTCGGTACAGGGGTTTGTTAAAAAAGCCGAATTAGTCTTTAGATCGGGCACGAGTACAGGAGATTACCACGGACAAATGAATGCCACGAATTTTGAAAAGTGGCTAACAGAACGTTTATTTCCAAACATACCTCCGAACTCCGTAATTGTATTAGACAATGCTCCGTACCATTCCACTTTGGTCAATAAAGTACCAACTACCTCATCTACGAAAGGGACGATAATGGATTGGTTGAGGGCCAACAATATTCCATTTAACTCCTCCATGCGAAAGGTAGACTTAATGCAAATCGTTCTTCAACATAAGCCGCTTGAAAAGCAGTATAAAGCAGATGAAATTATTCGGGCACATGGACATATTCCTTTGAGACTACCGCCGTACATGTGTGAACTGAACCCAATTGAACTTGCATGGGCTGCAGTAAAACGGTATGATAGTATTTTCGATTGTTTTAGCATGTGACCCGCAGTTGTCGAAAGTCGATATGTATAATAAAGTATTATATTTCTTTAAGATACATACGAGACAGGAATACCACAGGAGAAATGAGCATTAACCAGCTAACAGAATTAACCTACCAAGCAATCTCTGCAATACGGCCTGAAGACTGGCAAAATTACGTCAGGCATGTAAAAAAAATTGAAGACGAGTACTGGGAGAGGGATGGTAGGATAGAAGATGCAGTGGATGAAATAATTATACAATTGGGCGAATCTGATGATGAAGATGATGACTTATTTTCAATCGCTTCATCATCTGCATCCGAATCTAGCGACATTGAGGGCGTCGAAACCCTTAATTGGCCTTCCACCTCTCCTTCCACTTCGTCTGACGGTTGCAAATGAAATTTTCTGTGATATTGCTTTCTAGGAAATGTAACATCCATTTTCTTAATGTTCATTTACCGTTATATTCTTTTCTTCTCTTTTAAGTTTCGAATTGACTCCTCATTTTTTGTTTTAACTTTATTTTACGTTGAGAATTATTTGTTTTTATTTATTTTGTGTTATTGTGAAAGTGTTTAATTCTGTTACTCGAATAATATATTTTTTTAATGCAATTCAAAAAAATCGCAGTAATGTCTACCCGATTGAAGTTACATACACCTCCGCCCATGGATACTGCGACATTGAGGAGGGGCTCTCCCTTGCCGCACCGACGTTCTTTCCGGACCACGACAGTAAATAGAACATCTGGGTCATACTATCTTAAACTTTAATCGTAACATAAATTTAAAATTTTTATCAACAAACAGCGCTTTGTGTTTTATTTCCAACGAAAATTTTCCGAAGGACGAGGCCTTTGTTTAATTGCCTCGTTGTATAATAGGACATGATAAAAAATTAAACTTAAAATCCACGACCGACGGGGCACGAACACCGCCACACATTAAAAATTCCAAGTATGCGCTGAAAAGGCAGCCCGAGATCTTGATAGCGCCCACGCTCAAACCCACCACATCTAACCTCTTCTCTCATCCTTGACGGTGCGACCTAGAACTCCGTTCATAAAGTAATCTCGTCATTCGTAGGGGAAAAAACGCGCACATCCGGCGAAATACAATACTGCCAACCACATGTAGATGCGTACTTGTTACGTAAGTGAGGGCTCGGTAAAAAGTAGGGTTAATGTCAAGGCTGTGTCCCGTTTATTTGCTCGAACCCGTGTTTACTCTTTTTTATCAGTGCAGCGATTGGATCCGACTTTTCGGTGTCGGAATGATGGCTTCCGCTCGCAGCGGCATCGTCTGCGCGGTTTCCTGTGTCCGCCTATCTAGTTTTGGGTTTTAGCGCGGATCCTAGGAAGTTGGTAGGACTGTGCAACACGTGACTTCCGCTTTTTCGCCAGCGAGCGAAGCGAGCTGTATCATCGACCAAAAAATCACGACAGAAAAATTTATGTGGCTTCCTTCCGCTGGATGCGGCCCTGGCAGCGGCCAAGGAATAAACAGGTCGTTTATAAATAGCGTCGGCGGTCGATATCGGTGCCTAGAGAATGACAAGCTTAGCCACTGTCCTATTTATTGCACGTTCTTATGTCATCCGATGACGACACGCCGGCTTTTTCTACCGGTCGCTAGGTGGCGTCGCCCAGCCACGGTAAAAACTTACAGACTTTCGCTAATGGGAAAGCGTCAATTACGCGAACGCACTGTACTAACTCAACTGAATATGTACGCCGACAGCAATTTCAATTAGCGGATGCTAGATGGATTTTTTGCTCGTTTTGTGCGGCTTGATGTACTGGGAACGACATAAAAATCTCGGAGCGAGGTCAAGGGTGCAGGGATCGCCCTGAACTTGGACAATTTACACAGTTTTGGGTGTTCAAACACGATCGGTGCTTTTTCGTCATTGCTCAAACAGTACCTTTGTGTAATCTGGGCGACCTTCGCCAAAGTACACACGGGTGTTGACAGTCTGCCGAAAGCGCGGGGTCGCGAATGCGATGCTGGGCGATAATGACGTTGGCTGCGATAACAGAATTGGAATATGCTAAGCAAATTTGTAGTAGATCGAGTAGATCGTTGGATGTACATCGTGGACGGAGGAAGTCATTTCTCATGGAATAAATTCGATAGTAATAAGCCAAAAGTCCTCGACTTGAAGGTCAAGGCCTACGGTGTTAAAGTTGAGAAATGAGAAATGTCAACAACTAATTGATGTCCTGGGACGGGAAAAAATTGCTCAAAAATCGACACGAAAAGTCCCGTTTGGAATATCCGGCTCAGAAGGGGAACTCAATTTTTCTTCCCCAAAATGTTTAGACGAAAACGCAACGTGGCCCCATTAATTAGGTTACTTTTTGTGCGTTACCACAACATTGGGTAAAAGACGGTCTTACGAAATCTTCGCTACTGTCGATAGCGTCATATTAACCACATTAACATGGAAATGGCGTAATCCTGTAATGGAAACTGTAACTTTGCTAATTGTTAACTCAAATATCAGTCATTCTCGGTGCTAAACACCAGAAACACAAGGTTCATATTGTTGTTCCTTGCAGTCTCGATTTTTACAAGAATCTTGGAGATCTTCTATGGGTCTTGTTTTAGAAATAGTTTTGAAAGAATCTCGGGCACCTCTTGTGTCTGATTTTCGGAGTAGTTTGAAAAAATTTGTATTGTATTGTAGAAAATGGGCTATCTTGAGAAAAAATAGGGACTGAATATTCTTATTCTTTCTAAATCAAACGGAAATCGAAAGAAAAAAAAAAGTCTAGATTTTCAACAATACGATCATGCTTCAAACATATGGACTTTGCAGTTAAGCTCCGCCCCTCGATCTTAACCACAAATGGAAAATTCAGCACAATTGAGGGAGGGGCGGGCGGGTGGGGCTTAATCATTGGTCCCGTTTTCTGAATATGTATGTAGTTTTCATTCAAACAACACGACACTTAAAACATAATTCTAACCTCGATTCATCATTTGATATTTTAAGTATTTTATTGGTGAAAGGACACTTATGTATGTTACAGAATGAAAGTCACGGGATAAGCCCCACCCACCCGCCCCATTTCAATTGTGATTAATTTTCTTGTTCGTCGTGAGCCAAGAGGGCGGAGCTTAAATGCCAAGTTCAAGTTTCTCGACAAGAAATTACCATATGAAACATGTTATAAGTATCATATGGTTGAAAGAAAACTACATATACTAAGAAAAAAAGTTAAAAAATAAGCCCCACCTCAACTGTGATGAATTTTTTTATTCGTTATGAGATCGGGGGTCGGAACTTAAGTGCAAAGTCCATATGTTTGAGGCATGATCATATTGTAGAAAATAGACTACCTTGAGAAAAAATAGATTGAATATTCTCAATCTCTCAAAATCAAAACGAAGTCGAAAGAAGAAAAAAACTTTACAAAAATCAACATTTTAGTATTCACAACTTGACTTTTTTGTAAACTGGAAGCCTAAATGTATAGATGTGGCAACACTGCTAATCCAGGTCGACATATTGTAACCTTAAATTGACCTTTTTGCTTTTGTTTTTGAGAGAATAGCAGTATTCAATCCTTATTTTTTATCAAGATAGCCTAGATTTTCTGCAATACGATTATGACTCAAACATATGGACTTTGCAATTAAGCTCCACCCCTCGATCTTACCACCAATGCAAAAATTCAGTACAATTGAGGGAGGGGCGGGCGGGTGGGGCTTAATCTTTCTTTTCCTTTTCTAAGTGTATATAGATTTCTTTCAACAACACGATACTTAAAACATAATTGTAGCCTCAAATTCACAACTTGATATTTGAAGTATTTTACTGTTGAAAGAAGACATATATGTTACGGAAAGAAAGACAAAGATTAAGCCCCACCCACCCGCCCCATTTCAATTGTGATTAATTTTCTTGTTCGTCGTGAGCCAAAAAGGCGGAGCTTAAATGCCAAGTTCAAGTTTCTCTACAAGAAATTACGATGTGAAATATGTTTTAAGTGTCGTGTTGTTGAAAGAAAACTACATATACTAAGAAACAAAAGTCAAAAATTAAGCCCCAGCTCAATTGTGATGAATTTTTTATTCTCTGAGATGGGGGGCGGAGCTTAATTGCAGAGTCCATATATTTGAGGCATGAACCTATTGTAAAAAAAAGGCTATCTTCAGAAAAAATAGGGCTGAATGTTCTTAATCATTCTAAATCAAAAGGAAATCGAAAAAAAAAACTTTTCAAAAGCAAAATTTTTGTATTCACAAAATAAAAATATAACAATGTTCAGTCCTTATTTTTTCTCAAGGTAGTCTAGATTTTCTAAAATACGATCGTTCCACAAACATATGGACTTTGCAATTAAGCTCCGCACTTTGATCTTACCATCAATGACAAATTTAGCCCAAATTTGAGGGAGGGGCGGGCGGGTGGGGCTTAATCTGTATTTTCTTTTTCTTAATGTATATAGTTTTCTTTCAACAACACGATACTTAAAACATAATTCTAACCTCGATTTCACCTTGAGATTCAGTGTCTTCAATAATTTTACAGAAGTGTAATGATTTTTTTAAAATGACCAAAGTTAAAACTAAGTAAAAGACACTTAAGGCTTCCGAGATTCTTAAGCAACTAAGCACAAGACACTCAGGGCTCCGAAATTCTCAAGCAACTAAGCAAAAGACACTCAGAAGTCCGGATATTCTTAAGCAACTAAGCAAAATGCACTTAAGGCTCCGAGATTCTTATGCATCTAAGCAAAAGACACTCAGGGCTTCCGAGATTCTTAAGCAACTAAGCAAAAAACACTCACTGCTCCCGAGATTCTTATGCAATTAAGCAAAAGACACTCAGATCTTCCGAGATTCTTAAGTAACTAAGCAAAAAACACTCAGGGATTCCGAGATTCTTATGCAACTAAGCAAAAGACACTCAGATCTCCCGAGATTCTTAAGCAACTGAGCATAAGACACTCGGGACTCCCGAGATTCTTATGCAACTAAGCAAAAGACACTCAGATCTCCCGAGATTCTTAAGCAACTGAGCATTAAGACACTCAGGGCTCCCGAGATTCTTATGCAAGTAAACAATAGACACTCAGATCTGCCGAGATTCTTAAGCAACTAAGCATAAGACACTCAGGGATTCCGAGATTCTTAAGCAACTAAGCAAAAAACACTCAGGGCTCCCGAGATTCTTATGCAACTAAGCAAAAGACACTCAGATCTTCCGAGATTCTTAAGCAACTAAGCAAAAAACACTCAGGGATTCCGAGATTCTTATGCAACTAAGCAAAAGACACTCAGATCTTCCGAGATTCTTAAGCAACTAAGCAAAAAACACTCAGGGATTCCGAGATTCTTATGCAACTAAGCAAAAGACACTCAGATCTCCCGAGATTCTTAAGCAACTGA